ATATCATGGGGAACACACTACACACAGAAGGACTTAGATGAGGGGGTCTCCTTATGTTGCAAATTTTAAAACAGAACTCAGGTGCCAGATGATTGCAGTCGCAAAAGAAAAAAAATAAATAAATAAAAAAATAAAACAGAACTCAGGGATCAAAGTAACAAGTCCACGAAATGGGGGCAGAAACAGCTTATCTTCGGGCCCTTTCAACACCTTGTTCTCCCCTTGCAGGAAGCCCTCGGGAATCCCAGGTTGCTGCTTTCTCTCTCCTTGCAAACTCTCTAACAGATTAATGCTGGATTCGAAGAGACAGCTTCTAAATCCAAAGGACAGCCAGGTAAGTGAGCACAGACGTGTTTCTTAGTGTCTGTTAGTGAGGGGCTAAGCTGGTGTGTTGGACTGTGGCGTGCCAGTTTGCTCATGACCATGAAGGCTCACAAAAAGATGATCTTCTGTGCGAGGGAATGATTTCAAAAACCCATTCTCGTTCCAGGATTAATGACTAAAAGAAAGGCATTTCCCCAATCCAGGGGCATTTGCTCTTTTTCTAAGGGACCTGCCTACCCTAGAGGAAGAGTGGCTGGCAGACCAGGGAGGGAGGTATTGGACGGGAGGCGGAAGAGAGGAGGAAGGAGGGGGACGGAGGGGGGCTTCCCAGGCATGGTCAGCAGCTGCCTGGATAGACATGCTAGGAACTGGTCTTCTCTGGAGCACCTAACTACTAATAATCACGACCTGAACAAAGATAGACATTTCATAACAAGTTCACCAGACCTATATCCTATCTGTACATCTCAGCAGACTCTCAGATTTAGAGCATCTCCTCTTCTGAGAACTGGAAGGGAACTTACCTAACCAAACCTCACTTGATGGAAAGGAAAACAGAAATTCAGAAAGTTTAAGTGAATATTCAAGTCACACTGCTACCAAGTCTTCCTTTTATTTTCCTTTTATTTCATTAGGATCATTTTTCAAAATCTTCAGGTTCAGCTTGTGGTGCACTAGGACCCTCAAGTAGTTTTTTTTGTTCCAGTTCATGAAACTACAGGAAGTTTCGTAACTCTTCACATATCCTCCATTCACAAGTTTCCTTTGTCTCCTAAATTTCATTTCTATAGTATAGACTTTGTTTTCAGGGCCTAGTGCAAAGTTGGTGCAAATAGGCATTTGTTATATAATCAGGAACGGGTTATTTGATTCTTGTTTATGACCATGTGGGACTGCGCACAGGGGACCGCACACGCTGAGCGCTGCAGGATCCCAGCTAGGAGGACAGTTGAAGGACGCTGGCAAGGTGAGAGCACCCTGCACCACGTGGCCCTGACGCCTGTACCTGCTTAGTCTCCCCACGCCCTCAAGACCTTCAAGGTTGGAGCAAAGCCAGCTCTTTCAGGAAGACGGCCGTGCTGTTTACAGTACGGAAACAGAGGAAGGGCTACGGATGTGGCCTCTTAGGCTTCTCTTGGGCAACACCATTCCTTCCCAAGTCGGAAGTGACTAGATTTCTTCAGAGGCCCCTCCCCACTTACCTTCGAGATCTTACTCCTTCCATCCCCCTAATTTGAGCCTGGCTAAAAGAAAGAGGTGATAGTTCTGGGATAACGGTGGGGCCATTCACTCCTAACACACGTGGACATACACTCACATGCATATGCAATGTACATACTGTGGATTATCTAGAAAGCTGGTCTATGTATCCTCCTGGTTGACATTTAGCATTCACTGGGAGAGGGTTTTAAGAATGTTTGTCTTTAAGGAAAGGAGATAAAGAACAAGAAAGGAAGTTTTGTTTTTCATTTTAAGTGCTATTTTTATTTTTACTGATTTCTGATCATGATAGTAGACTAAAGAGGCATGGGAACAACATGCCAACACACGAGTATGCACATACATCATAAAAATACTAGGTAACCTTTTTTATTTTTAAATAAATATCTAAAGTCAAAAGCAAAAAGAGGGAGAGTGAGATCTCTAAGGGCCAGAGATGAAGAAGGAGCTTGGAGATGTGCAGACTTATCGGGAAGTAGGATGGAAGCCACAGGAACCCAGAAAGATACTAGAATTGGTCATGCAAGGTCAACATGGGAATGGTGACACCAGGGAGCCTGCAGGCCCCATGTACAACAGGGAACTGCAACTAGATTCCCACCAAAAGTCAGGAACCAGCAAAGAACTGTCCTGCATTTGTTTGGGGATAGAAAAACACATGGCAATTCTGAGACATGACCCCCAAGTGAGATGTCTGTCCTAGGCCACGGGAGAAAGAGGGCCATTTGAGGGCCATTCCAGATTCCCAATCCTGGGGAGGAAGTAATGAGGACCCAAAATGGCCATTTGGAATGGTGTGGAAATTCAGGACCAAGAAATAGCAACCACAAAAAATGCTTTGAACCATATGACCCAATAGGGCCCCAGCAAGTATGGCCATGAAACTGCCCCTGCGTAGACTTCTCCATAATGAATGCAGAGCTCATGCAAGTCTCCTGTGCAAAAAAAATGTCTTCAAAAGGTGAATTCAGAATCAAATATTACAAAGCACTAACAGCTGCTGCAATCAACGGTCAGCTGACCTGATGAAAGGGAGAATTCACACCTGAGGAACTAAGGGTAACGGAGCACTCTAACCATGAATTTAAAATAAGCATGTTTTGGCTGGGCACTGAGGCTCACACCTGTAATCCCAGCACTGTAGGAGGCCAAGGGATCACTTGAGGCCAGGAGTTCGAGACCAGCCTGGGCAACACAGCGAGACTGTGTCTTTATGTGAGAAAAAAAGGTTAAATAAATTAAATAAGCACATTTTTAAAATCTAGAGGCATTTTATATCAAATGGAGACTTGGATGAATGCATTTACATCTGCTCCCTCTCAAAAATCCACTAAAAATGATATTAAAGGGATTTTTTTAAAGGCATTGCCCCCATGAGATACAAGAACGAACAGAAGAAAGTGAGGGAAAATAACAGAAGATAACAAATTTTCTTTTAAGTGGAAGTCAGAGAGTAGATGGACAAGTGGGAACTGAATTATTAGATAAGAAGAAAAGATACAGAGACAGTGAAGGGAGCTAAAGAAATCTTTACAAAACTTTAATAGCCTCAAAAAGATAGGAGGAAATATTGTATTCATGAGACAAGAATGAGATACTATAAAAGGGAACATTGAGAAATAGAATAATATCTATTGGAAATTTAAAATATGATGGCAGAAATTTTAAATCCCAGGGAAAAGCTGGGAGATAAAGTTAAGGGTAACTTCTTGGAAAGTGGAAAGATGAAGATATTGAAAAATAGGTAAAAAGTGATAAGAATATTAGAGAATTAATCTTGGAGATTCAACATCCAAATAAAAGGAATCCTAGAAAAAAAAAAGAATAGATTAAATGAAGGGTGGAAAAGTATCAAAGAAATAATACAAAAAAAAAATTCACATAACCTATATTTCCAGATTAAGAGGATTTACCAGGTGCCCCGCACAATAAATGAAAAAAGACCTCCACCAAGGCATATCACCAAGCATTTTAAAACTAAAGATAGAGAGAAAATTAAAATGTTTAAATGACTCCATACAGTTAAAATTCAAAAGATTCTTAAAAAAAAAACTACTAAAACTAATATCTAAATTCACTTAGGTTCCAGATTACAAAATCAATACATGTAACACATTTATACTTCTATAAACTAGTAACAAAAAACTGGAGAATGAAATTGTTTTTAAATTTCATTTATAATAGTATCCAAAACACCCATAAAATACTTGGGGATAAATATAATGAAATATGTACAAGATCTGTGTGCCAAAAACTATCAAATGCTTTGTGAAAAATTAAAGAAGACCTAAATAAATGGAGAAAGATACCCTGATCATGGACTGAAGACTTAATATTGCTAAGATGTCAATTTTCTTGAAATTGATCTATGGGTTCGACATAATACAGATCAAAATCATGGTTGGGGCTGGGTGGAGTGGCTCATGCCTGTAATCCCAGCACTCTGGGAGGCCGAGGAGGGACGTTCGCTCAAGGTCGGGAGTTTGAAACCAGCCTGAGCAATAGCAAGACCCCATCTCTACTAAAAATAGAAAGAAATTAATTGGCCAACTAAAACTATATAGAAAAAATTAGCCAGGCAAGGTGGCACAGCTTGTAGTCCCAGCTACTCGGGAGGCTGAGGCAGAAGAATTGCTTGAGACCAAGAGTTTGAGGTTGCTGTGAGCTAGGCTGACGCCACGGCACTCTAGCCTGGGCAACAGAGTGAGACTCTGTCTCAAAAAGAAAAAAATCATGGTTGAATATTTTATAGAAATTGACAAGCGGATTCTAAAATTTTATCTAGAAAGTTAATCAAGGCAATTTAGGAAAGAGGAACAGGCCTGGGGAGTCACCTGTCCAGGTGGGAAGAAGACGATGAAGAACTCCAGGAAAGTGGTCTCCAGGAAAGAGAAATCGACAGCTGATCCAACAAATGTGAACGTATTAAGGGAGACTTTGGGACTGATGTCATGGTAAGTCCATGGAACATCCTATCATCAATTCCAGGGAAAACAAAACTGTACAAAGGAAGGAAATGTAAACATTGTACCCAACTGTGGATAATTATTTTATATAGTCCTTGCAACAAAAACACTGAATGTTGACTTATCCAAGAAGTGTGGCATCTGTATCCTAGGAGACGGGAGAGGGCGTATTTGTGTTTGCTTGCACGGGAATGAAAGCCGGAGAGCGGTTGAAAGAGCAGTAAATTCTCAAAAGCCAAAACAAAAAGTCAATGACCCCTAAAACAGAAGTGGGGGTCAAGAACTAGCACAGTAAGTTTGATATTTAGAAGCATGTAGACCACTACTAGATGAAACAGCTGTAAGAGCTGACAGCTGTTGGCTTTGCCTGCAGGGTTTGGGACTGGAAGGCCGTTGGTTTTCATTATAAGCTTTATAAAGCCATTTCACTTTTTCAATAATGTGCATAAAATACTTAAATTAAAAAAAGAAAATTAAGAAGTCCGAGTGGACATATTCTATATATTCTTTATTTGTTTATGTCTTTGATTCATTTGTACCCTCAAGGTTGAAAGAAAGATCTTGAATTTAAAAACAAAATACCAGGCTGGATAAAATCATTGGTGGTCAGAGTTCAGCTGTCAGCCCAGTGGCTTTTTGGATGGAGCCCAGAGTGGCCCCTCCAACCTCTGCCTGGAAACAGCTAAAGGCTGGGCTCCACCACCGCTTGATTAGGGGTCATCTCTGGAAAGACACTCGCTGGGAAGACCCTTAGGCCAAAGGGGAAACAGTCATTTTATTTCATTTGCATCTGTAAGATTTTTCAGCCTCTGAAAGACACATATTGAAATGCAAGTTTATGGGAAAGGGGCAATTTTAACCCCTAGGACGTAAAACCTGGATTATCAATTAGCACTTTTTGCTGCAACTAAGAAAAATGGGCCACAGGATGGGGACAAGGGAAGGTGAGGGACCGTGGTTTATCAAAAGGGAAGTAGTTTAGGGGAAACAGTAGATTTTGACATAATTTATTGGAGGCTGGAACACTGTGACCAAGCCTATAACACAAATTTTCAAACTTTAACATCAGCAAGCATGGTATAGAACACCCATTCACATCCCAATCCCTGTCCCCAAACTTATCTCTGATGTGCACCCCCTCCCTGACACAAGCCCCTCCCTGACCCCTTCAAACTCTGACCCCCATCCTCTCCTAAGATTCACCCCGTCCCTGGTCCCAGCCCCACCCTGAACAGGGGCTCCCTCCCTGAGGTGAACCATCTGGTCAAGGCCTTGACCAGAGATCTAATCCTTACCGTATCTAGTGATTGAAGCACCAGTTTTTGAAATTACTATGCATTATGTTAATTAAGTACCTGAATACTAGCATTTGTAAAAATTTTGAAATCCAAATCATTTATGTCTTGAGCCATATCCAGAGAATTACATGCCTCGTTAAAATATCTAATCAAACTATGTTGCACTTGATTGAAAAGAGTCTGGCTACATCTCTCCCCTGTTTAAAACACTTCAAGTTATTTTATTGCTGACTAGGTCCTATTTCCCAAGTTACTGGTGAGGCTGACCATCTTTCCACATGTTTATTAGTCGTTCATATTTCCCCCAGACCCAGTACGGATCCTGTTTACCTGCTGCAGCCCCGATAGGGTTGTCGCTGGGATGGCACATGGTAACAACAGAAAGGTGGACGTTAAGGAAACAGTGGGAGAGGTACTCGGATTGGAGGAGGAAGAAAGAGGAGAAGGAGACCCCAGTTCTCAGCCCTACTCACCTGGATTATCTCTTCCTTCTTCTATCTCCTCTCCTGAATCAGATCTGTCTTAGGGCTTGAGCACCAAACACTTGCCCCTCACCCTGTCTGGAGAGGCTCGTCTTCTTCCCCCGAAAGAGCATCTTAGACCCTGCTCCAGAGAGGATGGTGACTCTGCCAGAAATTCTTTTTGCTGCGACCTTGTAGCCACCAACACATCCTTGACAGTCATTCCCTGCCTGATGCCCCCTCCCTAAGACTCACTACACTCTTCACTGATCCCATCCCTAAGCCTTCCTCTGCACCTGGTCTCAGCCCTATCCCGAATCTCCCTGTCCCCGATGCCTCACTGCACCCCTGAATCTCACTCACCACATCCCCAGCATCCCTTGTTTCTAGATCTCTCCCCACTCCTGCCATTCATCCTCATCTAACCTTATCCCAAGCTGCTGCCCCATGCCTGCCCCCCAGTCTCTAACTGGAACCTCAATCGCTGATCCCAGTCACAACCTTAATCTAAATCCTACCTCTTAGAGCACAGATAGAATGACATTACCAGAGGCCGGAAAGGGTGGTAGGGAGGGGGGATAAGAGAGGATGGCTAATGGGTGCAACAGTACAGTCAGATAGAAGGAATGTGATCTAGTATTTGGTAGCACACGCAACAGGGTGACTATAGTTAACAACATTTTATTGTATATTTCAAAATAACTAAAAGAGTGGAACTGGAGTGCTCCTAACACAAAGAAATGATAATTTCTTGAGGTGATAAATACCCCAATTACCCTGATGTGATCATTACACATTACACATTTGTATCAAACTATTACATGTACCCCATACATATGTACAACTATTATGTACCCATAAAAATTAAAAATTAAAAAAAAATAATAAATCCCATCTCTGAGCTTCATCCCATTCCCAACTTCCCTGCTCTTTCCCCATCCCACCTAAACCCACACATTCTAAGCTTTGCTTAAGCTGCTTTGAGTTCAGTTTCTATTATTTGCAATCCAAAGAGCCCTGACATCTCCGGTACTCACTTGGGACATTTCTGCAGAGATAAAAATCTAACAGGATAAGGCATGAAGGCAAACTTAACATGCAGCCGAGGACAGCAGGGGGCCGACCGGGGTTCAGACAGGAGGAGCTCTGAGCAGAGGGTGAACGCATGGACTGGGGTCCTTCCAGCGTCCACCCATTCAGTAAATGTTTGCCGAGCATTTGATAGGCTGCAGGCAGTGTGACAGACACGGGCTATGGAGTGAACAAAATGGACAGGATTCCTGCCCCAAGCGGGGCAAATAGACAATCACTGAAATTCAGGGTGGGCATGTGGGGGGGCGTGGAGTGAGCTGATATCGTTGAGGGAGCCAGGCAGGGTCTCAGCCAGAAGATGAAGGTCAAGTTAAGTGAGGCTGAGACTCTCTGGAGGAACAGCTCTTTTTACGTAAGGACAAAGGGAGGCTCCGCAGCCTGGGGTATGAGCATGAGTGGGAGTTTTTGTCCCTCAAGAGACTGTTCTAGCAGGAGTTCGAGCCCCAGGGAATGTCACCCTTCAACCCAGAGAGACGCCTTTTGGGGGTGCTGCTCCCATTCCACCGCAGGAACAGCCAGCAACGCCGCACACACATCTGACCCTGTGTCACACCCAAAACACTGCCCCAGGGACAACCTGGAACAGAAACTTGATTAGAAACATCTGGCTGCACAGCTGACCGATGAGGATATATGGCTTTCTGGGGTTGCTGGTGTCAGCTTGGAGGCTCCACAATGGCAGAACTCATCCTGCTCCCTGCGTGGCTTGCTGTGTGCAGGCACAGGCTGCCCCCACGGGAGGGAGGGGTCCTTATGCAGTCAGGCTGCCTGCACACCCCCTCCCTCTCTGTCCACCCACCACACCCAAGGGAAATATTTCCAGCTCCATCCCAAGGCCACGTGGTGCTTTGATGATTTCTTGGTAGCACCTGCCTCGATGTCCCCAGCAGACACTACAACATATGCAAGATAAGAAAACAGTTCCACGTGCTCAGATCAGAGGACACAGAGGTACGAAGGTTGGAGTGTGCTCGGTGGTTGAGGTGACGGTCCTGAGAGCATCCACAAGAGAGACCAGCCCATGTGAGCAAACAGCTTCAGCCCCAGCTCTTTGATCTAACGTCAGATTCAGGCTGTGGATGTGTCTGTGCTAATTAGTGGGCCAGAGATACGAGTGTTCCACAGGAATGACGACGCTTCCTGTCCATGGAGGTGTGAAGGCCGGTCCTGGGTGGTGCCTCAGCAGCTGCTCGGAAGGTTGGCTCGGCCCCGGCAGACCCCAGTCCCTAACTTCCCGGCATGCTAGCGCCTCCCTCCCAAACCCAGATAGCATCTGTCCAGAGCCAGACCCCTCTCTCCGCACAGCCTCGGGGTGACACTCTTTCCTTATGAGGACAGACATTCTTTCGTGGATGGTTTTCAGAGGTTAGAAGAGACATTGATAGAGGAAGAAGTGCAAGAGGTAACGCGATGACGTGCCAAGAACTCCTTGCTGACCAGGCCACGCATGGCCAGGATCTTGAGGAATCCATAGCGAAAATTTTGGCCAATGAAGGCATAGATGAAAGGATTGAGGCAGCTGTGGAAGAAGCCCAGAATCTCGGTGGCATGCAGGGCCCTGTCAATGTCGCTGCGGCGCTCACAGGTCTCCGAGATCACCTGGGTCCTCATGAGGGTGTCTGCCAGCAGGACCAGGTGGTAGGGCAGCCAGCAGAGCAGGAAGACGAGGACCACAGCAAAGATGACCCGCATGGCCCGGTGCTTCTGCCCCATGTGGGCCTTAAGCAGCGTGCGCAGCGTGAATCCGTAGCAGAACAGCATGACCAGCAGGGGCAGGACAAAGCCGAAGGTGTGGGGCAGGATCCGCAGCACCATCCGCCACTTTGCTGTGTCATTTCCTAGGACCTCATAGCAGACTAGGCCCGAATCCTTTGGTTTATAGGCCTGGCGGAAGAGGAAGAAAGGCAGGGACAGAATCAGAGACAGTCCCCAGATGCCCAGACATACGAACTTGACCAGGTGGCGCTTCTGGGTGAGAGCGCGTGTGGCGTGGACAATGGCCAGGTAGCGGTCCATGCTGATGCAGGCCAGCAGGAGAATTCCACTGTAGAAGTTGACTTCCTTCAGGAGCGACACCAGCTTGCACAGGGCTGTGCCAAAAATCCAGCCAATCACCTTGGAGGCGGCCCAGATGGGCAAGGTCAGGGCGAAGAGCAGGTCGGCCATGGCCAGGTTCAGCAGGTAGACGTCGGTGACGGAGCGGCCGACGCGGCCGCACAAGATGACCAGCATCACCAGGGAGTTTCCCAGCACGCTCAGCAGGAACACCAGGGCATAGATGACGACCACAGCATGCTTGTTGAGTTTCTCAGTCTCTAGCCTACTACAGGGGATGTGGTCTTTTTCTACAGATGGCATGTCAGAGAAATTTGAAAACTCAGAAAACCAATCCCACACGTCAGTAACGGTGTCCTCGGTTTCAGCCATGGTTTGATCTAGCTGAAAGGTTGGAAGGAAAGAAATGTGATTGAGTAGCTCAGATCAAGGCACTCTCATCAAGGATTGGAGAACAGTTACTGGGGCACCTTTGGCTTCTCTGTTGGTTTGGCAGCCAGAGATCCTCCCCCTTTGCCGCCAACCTGGGCTTCTTAAGAGGTTGGCTTCCCCCTAGTATCTACCTTCCACAAAGCAGAGGCCCAGCCTCAGTGTGGGGTAAGATGGAATATGTTCTTGGTTGACCTGCAAACCTGTCCCAGCTCTACCTGCAACTCTGCCTCTGTTTCCGCTTCAGCCTGCTCCATCCTCAGCCATGTCTACGCTCAGATGGGAGGACCAGGCTGGTCTTTGACATTCAGGGAAGGGCCAGCGGTAAGGAAAAGGGAAGGAGGCAAACCTGTTCCCAGGTGTCCCTTCCTATTGTACTTCCCCTCCTATGTGCTCCCTGATTCTTGTTTATCCTTCTTAAGATCTACCGGGAAAAGGAAGTGATAGCAACCAAGGATATCAAACTGTATTTTAAACCTTGTCTTCAAAAGAGCAATAAACACTTTGATCCTCTTTCTAAAGGATTTTTAAGAATTTCAGAGGATAAAATCCCCATCTTGGCTCCTGAATCCCCTACTGGACATCTGTAGAATTGTTCAGCAGTTGTCAAAATTTTATTTTCTTGAAGGACACTTTGTTGGAACAAAATCTTCCTAGGAGCCCAATATGTGAAACAGATAAAAGCTGAGTCTTTGTGGGAGACGTGGGCTGTTCTGTCTACCCACACCGTCCCTAAGAGGCCCATCGAAGCTTCCAGTGCTCTGGAGAGCAGACTGAAAACTTCTGGAAAGTCACCCAGAATAGGAATGAGCATATCTAGCACCCAGGCCTGAGTCTACCCTGATTCTATCACGAATAGGCTGTGTGATCTTGAATGGGGCCTTTTAGCTCTATGGGTTTCAGCCTTCTCATCTGCAAACAGAGAAAGACAGAAGAGGGAACCTTACTTTGCTTCCAGGTCTGAGGTTCTATGGGAAGCTCATTCAGATCCACACATTTTAGTATGTTTTCTCCCTGACAGTACTTACATTTGCACAGAAGACAAAGTCTCTGGGCAAAGCAATAAACATCAAATTGGGGAGTTGTCAGCCTCTGACCCCAAAAGGGAGGGGAGGCCTTACAGGAGAGGATGAAGAGGCTGTGGCCCTCTTGTCAACAACTGTGGCCATGTACAAGGTCAGAGTTGAGTACATTGTCACAAGGGAGGAGGAAGGCAGCCAGTCAAGCAGAAATCCTCAGGTCCCCCTTTTTTGATCTCCCTTTGCTGTGACAATGGGTCCAGTTGTCATTTGTGGCGTATGTGCCATGCTCTATAAACCTATATCTTGCTCTTGCTCTATAATACTATCTTTTTCTCCTTAATAAATCTCATTCCCGTGCTTGCCTTAAAAACAAACAAACAAAAAAAAAAAAACAAGGAAAAGAAATCCTCAGGTGCCTAGGAAATGAATGCATTTTCTAAAATGAAGACAAACAAAGCCTCCCTTCCCCAAAGAAAGTTCTGGCAACAGAAGTGGTTTCCTACCTGAGGCACCAGCCAGGTGTGTCCGACTGTAAGAGCCTGCAGCTCAGAGACCAGAGTGACTTAACAGTTAGAGGGATCTTGATGAATAAAGGGAAACAGGGAAATGACATGAGGCCACACCCCTTCTGAGCCCCACCCATGGCTGCATTTGCAGAAGAGAAGATGAGGTCAGGGCACCCCAGGAAACAGAAACTCCAGGGGTCCATATGTCCCAGGGGGTACCAGCCTGAAGCTGGGGTTGAGGGTCCAGTATCTGAGTTCTCTATTCTATAGACTATCACTTTTATTCTCTTCCTTTTCTTGAATTTATTTCCAGTTGTTTATTGCTAAATTCCCTAGTAGATCCATTTTGAGAGCTTCCAACTTGCCTGACATGAATAAAAGGGGAAGGATTTGACTTTTTATAGTAGAGACTTCAGAAGGAGTCCACCGTAGGAGGGACTCTGGGGCAATCTGGTGGGAAGGAGGTGAACAACTGCACTTACGCCACATTTGGACAGTAAGCACACAATCTTTACATACATTGTAGGCTTCTTTGGAGTGGCCTGGTAGAGATTTGGGGGGAAACTGACCCCCCTCCACCGCTAGCTACCCTTTTGCACAATCACAGCCAATGACTGGGAGCATGGGCCTCCCCTGAAGTCTGCCTGGATCACAGAGACTCCAGGGGATCAGGGAATGGAAGAGTTGGGGTCAAGGTCACTGCTGCCCCCCTCAGGAATGACAAATGGCTTCTCTGGGAACCTGCCTTAGCTGCCCCCAGCAGGTAATGACTGTCCCCTGGCTCGACTCCTCCGGCACCTTCATCACTTCCATGATAACGTGATCCCTCCTGTACTGCAATGAAGTCTTCACAAGTCAGGCCTCCCCCACACTGTGAGCCACAAGAGAGCAAGGACCTCTCTGAGTCAGCTCTGCCAGGGAATGTAGACCTCTCAGCCACTGGTGTAGAATACATGATGGTAGACATGTCTCGCATGATTCACGGATCATGGCTCACCAAGATTCAGAGAGTCTATTGCTTTTGGCCACACACTCATACCACAGCTATGTCTGGAAGCTTCTCTTCCACACAGCCAGGCTGGTCTGCCTGACATGGCGCCTCCCCATCCATCCTCTAGCATTTGGAGTTAGTGCCAATCCGTGCAAGGATAGACCCTGCCCTGCCACAAATGCCAAATTTTACCATGCCACTCGTGCCTACAGTTCTGCCACTGGCAAGCCCGTTTGTCAGCTAAGTAGTGTTTTCCTCCTGGGTTGTCTTATCGTTCATACACAGTGACGGGAAGTGCAAGGAGACTCAACCTTTGCTTTCCTGATGTTGGACAGCTGTGCTCTGCTGCCTTAGACTAGAAGGGACTCGAAGATGGGGCAGTCCTGGAAGGGAGGAGCCGTCCTCACTATCAATCATCTAGGGAAGAGGTAGCTCCAGGGGCAGAAAATAGTCACTGGGGTCTGGGCGCGGTGGCTCACACCTGTAATCCTAGCACTCTGGGAGGCTGAGGCGGGCAGATCGCTCAAGGTCAGGAGTTGGAAACCAGCCTGAGCAAGAGCGAGACCCCGTCTCTACTATAAATAGAAAGAAATTAATTGGCCAACTAAAAATGTATAGAAAAAATTAGCCAGGCATGGTGGCGCATACCTGTAGTACCAGCTACTTGGGAGGCTGAGGCAGGAGAATCGCCTGAGCCCAAGAGTTTGAGGTTGCTGTGAGTTAGGCTGAAGCCACAGCACTCTAGCCTGGGCAACAGAGTGAGACTCTGTCTCAAAAAAAAAAAAAAAGAAAGAAAAGAAATAGTCACTGGGGACACAGAAGACAAGAGGCCGTCCAGGGCCTAGACATGTACTCAAGAGCAAGCAGAGCGGATGGGGAAATGTCGTTTCGGCCACAAGGGGCCAGCAGTCACTGGACGGGGAAGCCGGGCGAGCAACTGCTGAGAAAGGCCAGGGCCAAGAGGCAAGTTCCTCTGGGTGTGTAGGTCCCTTCTGCTTTTCCCGAGCCCTCCGTCAAGGGCAATCACCACTCCAGTCTGATTCCACACGCCACTGAGGGGCCAGGGAAGGGCCGGGTCTACCCTCAAGCCCGAGGTGTGAAGGGCAAGCGGCCCCTCTGGAAGGGCCTGGTGGTGGCAAGAGCCGCTGCTGAGGTCCCCAAGGGAGGTGGACCTGGAGGACACCAGGTGACAAGAACCTTTCACTGTGCAGCAGGAAAGAGCATTTTGCATTCCAGTCACTTTTGCCTGTCTTCGTACATGACCCCCCCAGTCCTGTTGGGGAACTTTGTATCACACACACTAGAAAATGCAGGCTCTGCGATTCCATCTAGTGAGGCAAGGAAGGAAGGGAGGGAGGGGACAAAGTTTATCACAGGGTTGTTTATAATAATACAGCTAGGTGATAATTTCAATGTCCTTAGAAAAACTTTTATACAAATTATACTGATCTACAAAAAGGAACACTATGCCTCTATAAAAACATAATATACCACCATAGTGAATGCTATTAATGGAAAGTATCCATAATAGAATGCTAAGTGGAACTAAAGATTAACAAACAGAGTGTACAGCATAACCTTTTGTAGTAAATGTATGTATCACGTGCACAGGGGAACACCGGAAAGATAGTCAAAATCTGAACGGGGTTATCTTTGGGGAGTGGGATTACAGATATTTGCTTTCTTGTTTATGTCTTTTAACATGGTCCAATTTTTTTTAATGAGCCTGACTTTTGCAATGAGAAAAATATAATACATATGTAGCTATTTCCATTAAATAATAAATAACCCCGTGAGGGTCATTTCCCAGCGCAGCTCAGTCTGTGAGCAGTCGCCCAGGACTCTGAGCTCCGCCCCACGGGGCTCCTCCCTCCTAGACCCTGAAACCCCTGTAGCCTCCTCCGGCTCTGGCTTCCCCACCACTCGGTTCTCCACCGTTGCTGTTTCTTTGGACGGGGTTGCGCTTATTTTCAGGATCTTTCTCTCCCCCCTGGACTGGGAGTAGGCAGGACTCTGGCGCGGACTCCTGGCCATGGTTCATAAAGCATCCCTGCCTTGCCTCCCAGGCCCTCCTGCCAGCAGGAGCTGTAAAGGATTCTAGTCTGCATCCTCAGTGCCCTGCACAGCGTGTGACAACAGGAGAAAGCACGTGGCCCACGCAACCACCCAGGGCCCCGGGCTCAGAAAAGCCTGCCCTTGGGGGTTGACATTCTGCAGTTCCAGTCTTACAACTCTTAATAATTTTATCTTGGAATGTGTTTTGTAAGTGAGGTCTACTGGCCCAAGGGTCATGCACAGGGACTTGGAGCCTCAGCTCACGTGCTGGCCCACCTGTGTGGCCCGAGGGACAAGTTCTCAGCGCCCCACTCCCCACCCCAGGAACACTGTGGTCCTCAGCCCTCCAGAGGTGGCCTTGGTGCAGGCATGGGGACAACCAGTGTCAGGGCTGCGGCACCCATGATGGTGTGCACTTCCCATCAGTATCCTCATGCCCCAGGGAGCACAACATTAAATAGCAAAAAACCACTCTGTCCACTTAAGAGAAATATCATGGAAGAAAGGAAGAAAGCTTTTTTCACAGCTTTTTGAACAAGGGGCTCACGTTTTCATTTTGCACTAGGTCCACAAATTATGCAGCCAGCCCTGAAGCAGGTAAGTATTTGTCAGATGGATGAAATATCGCAGGAGTGAGAGGAGCAATCAGTGGGATGGAATTCTCATCTTAGCTCAGCAGACAACTCTACCCTTCCAGTCACCAAAATTCATGGACTCATCACGAACGTCTATCTTTTACATCCAACATTCAACCCACCAGAAATTGCTGCTGGATCTGCCAAAATAAATTCCAACTCCTGTCTTCTCGGCAGCTCTGCTGTGACTGCCCTGGCTCCTGCTTCCGTCCTTGTCACCTGGATCGTTGAAACACACCCAGCGGTCCCTGCTCCTGCTGTCTGTGTTCTAAGGTCTATTCTCATTTCACCACCCGAGTGATCCTTTTGCCTTGCGAGTCAGATCATGTCCCTCCTTATTACTGCCCTGAAATGTCTGCAGAGTACAAATTCTACTGCTTCTAAAATGTTTTCAGTGTATTTTCAGTAATGTTACTGCAGCAAAACCTGACACATACCACCTTACCCAAATGAGGAAGGTTCCCATCACCAGCGATGCTGTGTGGATCTCAGGATCCCCCAATCAATGTGAGGAGGTCCCCCATCTCTGGGGTACACTCTCTAAAACCCACAAGCTGAGTCATCATAAGAAAAATATGAGATAAACTCAGATTGGGGACTCTCTACAGGACACTGGCCAGAATTTCTAAAGACTGTCAAGGTCATAAAAAAACAAGGAAAGACTGAGCAAAACTGCCAGAATACAGGAGACTGGGGAGATGACAACTGGTACCCTGAATTGGATCCTGGCACAGAAAGAGGAGATGATAGAATAACGGGCCAAATTCAAATAAAATCTGGAGTTTAGATAATAGTTGCTTTGAATAATAGTTCCTTTTAAAGTTGTTACCTACAGATGCCCCTCAACTTACCATGGGATTATATCTGGATAAACCCATTATGAAGTTGGAAATCATAAGTCGAGCCATCATAAGTAGGGAACCATCTGTGTTTTATTTTACTGAGTTTATTTTTCAAATCTGAAAAAGGTTTTGAATTTTGTCAAAAGTTTATGAAGATAGTCTTCTGACTTTTTTTCTTCTCAGATATATTAGTATGTGAATCACATTAATGGTTTTCTAATGGTGAATAATGCTTGAATTTTTGGAATAAATCTCACTTACTCAGGAAAAAAAGTGGATTTGATAAAGGCAAAAGTCCTCAAATGGCCTTCAAGGCCTTCCTCTGTCTCTCCCCACGCCCTACCCCCATCCCACCCCGTCAGCCTTCTGTGTTTGTGTGCTAAGGCTGCCATAACTAAGTACCACTGTGGAGTGGCTTGAACAACAGAAATGCATTGTCTCACAGTTCTGGAGGCTGGAAGTCTGAGATCTAGGTGTTGTCAAGGTTGCTTCCTTCCAAGGGCTATGAGAGGGAATCTAATCTGTTCCAAGCCTCTCCGCAGCTCCTGGTGGTTT